TCTCAGTCATAAAAATTACCCTACGGGTAAACATGGCAACTGAGGCAAGAAGAATATCAGTAACATGGCCAAGATTCCTTTGAATTACACAGCCTGAGACAGTAGTTATAATCAGAATTCTAGTCTTCTCCTTTGTGAACTAAGAACATTCTTTCCACACAAAGATGAATTTAGCAGCATGTAATTTTCCTTCTTATCCACTAAATGTGGGATTGAATTAGAGTTTACCTAGAGAAATCTAATTTGTAGTTTTGAAAATAAGCAAAAAGCTGTTAGACTGCTATGTTGATATTCTGATCACATTACATATGCATAAGAAGATAGTATCAAGCAAAGCTTTATTTACATTTCCTAAGTGTTTTTTTTTTTTTTTTTCATTTTGTATAAACTTAATGAGTGGTGCTGTTAGGGAATATGTGTATCCCTCTTTGTGTAATGGATTAAGTGTGAGTCCTGTTAAACACAAGGCCATAAATCAGACTGTGTTCTCTATGCCTAATTAAGGGTTTAAAGGGGGGAAAGGTAAATTCTTGCATGAAGGGCTCTACTCAGAAGCAGTGTTTGTTATTTCGCAAAGGAAGTACATAGATAAAGGGGGGGGGGGCAGTTTAAGAAAATGAGAAAGAGGAAAATATTTTTGCCACTTGATTCTATTTCTCCCCAGATTTAAGAATGCTTTAGATGCTGAAGTGTCTGGCTATTACATGAGAAAAACTTATCTTTTAATTAGTGCCCTGAAATGTAATAGTAATACAAGTTGACCAGAGTATTGAAACATGAATAGTCTTAAAAGTTGATTTAGCTTTAATCAACTAAAACAAGAAAGCTGTATGCTTTGACAATGCAAATAAAATCAGCTACAGAAAAAATTTTGAAAAAATGAACAAGTCTTTTTCTTTCTACCTATACATCTCTATAATCATAGTACATTGACATCTTAAAATATTAAACTATTATAGAATTCAAGGGAAAAACAAAGTAATCACAGTTAATCCACTCATTTCCTAGTGGAAGAATTGCCACGAGTTTAGATACAATTAGTCTCAGATAATAGTATTAAAGCACTTCTGTATGTTCCTGAAGTGCAGCTAATGTTTATATTCATAGTGTAAACTGACTTTAAGTGAACATGTTAAGAGATTTGAAAGGTGAGTTGCATAGGATATATAGGGATAGAATAAGAGAGACAAGGTCAAGATTTATCAGCAATTAGGAGCTTCATTCAGTAATATCTGACTATACGTAGTTAATGCTGATCTTTGGCTTTATTTCACTCCACTAGGTGTTATTCCTGAACTGCTCAATGAAATATAGGAGATGGGGGGGAGGGGTAACAACCAAAACATTTGCTATTGGGGGGGGGGAGGGAAGAAATATATCTTGATTGGATTTTTATTGTATTTACAATAAGAGGATCATATTACTAAATTTCCAGTTATTTATTTTTTATTCAGTAAATATTTATTGTGGCCTAGATAATGAAAAGTAATTTGCTAAGTGCTGGAAATTTAGTTAATTGGGTACTGGACAAAGGAGACAAGATGACCATCTTCATGGAATTTCTTAATTGATCAGGAAAAATAAGATTATTACCTGTTCTTATTTGTAGAATTCAGAGATCCTCGGTTTATGCATTATAAATCCATTTCAGAGTTAAACTCATGTTGCATGATCATGAAGACCACCTAAGACCTCTTCCATCTCCTCTGCAACCTTTGCCTTCATTCTCTCCCCTCAACTTTTATTACTCCCTACTCACCCCACCTTCTGCTCTGTGTTGTGCCTGCTGGTAGGCATGTATGGGGGAGGGGTGAAAGAGATTTCCATTCATTCCAGACTTCCACATGCAATGGGTGTGTGGGGTAGCAATAAAAGCAATCCCAGGCCCTTATTCCTGCTTAAACTTTCCCATATTTGGTCAACACTTCGATTACATTTTCTGACAGACCAGCCATGACACAACTTCTGCCCCCAAATTCTTAAGTCTCTCTTTTCTTAGTATTGGAGTCTCCTCTGAATATTAACCCTTTTCCAGTACACCATCACCTCTATTTTGTCTTATATAAATTGACATTTATTACTGTTTGGGTTTGTTCTGTATCGAGTGTTTATCAATTGTTAAACATCTTGTAATCTACAACAAAACAACATTCCAGGAAATGAAAAGATCTGCTGGAATTGATGAAAGGAGACATGCACAAAAGGAGCTGGGAATTGTTGAATCCCAAACCTAAAAGCAGGAATGGAAGAAAGAAAGCAGGGCAATTCAGAGAAGGTGCTCTTTGTTACATGTCAACTGAGTTCTGAAGCTACCCCCACTGCTGTGTAGTTGGAATGGGGATCTCAAAGAAAGGAAGTGTAGGGCAGTTTGAACGGAAACATGTGCTCCTTGACTTATTTCTCTCTCCTCATTTAAAGGAAGATTCTTGAAATACATGTGATCTTATATGAAATTTAAACGAATGCCAGCAGCATTGGGTAGGTTTCACCTATCCATTTGAATATTTTCCTATTCCTAAATTGTCCTTTCGCTGGACTTATATTGGAAAAACTTCTTTCCATCCCTACAAATTCAAATGTTCAAATCCTACCATCTTTCAAATTCTACTTCAAAGGACATCTCTTTCTTAAAGCCTTCTTTTTAATATACCCAGCAGAGAGTTACTTCTCTTATTAATTTTCACATAATTTGACTTGTATATTTCTTGTGACATTCTTCACTTTCTACCTCCTTTTAGAAGAGATATTCATGAAAAAAGATATTCATGTAATTTACTAAATTATAAAAGATCCGTAATTGAGTCACATATTCCCTCCTCCTGCCACACACATTTATTGAGATCGAGTGTGTCATAATGGAAAGCATGGCTGAATGTAGATAAATGCACATAGAAGAAAAAGATCCAACAGCAGCAGCTTCTCTGGAATGGTGGCCCATTTCTGTTCTGGCGCTCTGTGAAATATGTTATGTTGGCACAGAATATTCACCAAGTCTTTAACCAAACTTACCTGCTAGGGACTATACTCAAATAGCCCAAAATAGAGTAGATTCTACCAGTCAGTTCATAATATTGACTATTATACTTGGCTCACTGTCTCAAAGAATGAGTGTATAACAATTTCTTTTTGTTTCAATAAAAAAATCCACAATGTATTTACATTTGCGTAAGTGGGATGATACATTTTCTCTTCTTTAATAACCCGACTGGTTATTAAAGAATAAGAAATTACGGCAAAGCAACTAAATATGTATGTTTTCCTTTAGCTGGCTTCAAAACTTCTTATTAAGCACTATTTCACAAAAAATAAAAAATTATATGTTATGGTCTGATTGCTTAAAAAAGCTATTTCTGAATAGAGGAGAAAACATCAGAATGAGAATACCTTGAACATATTTCCATTACTTTAGCCATAAAGAGGATTCTTGAAAATAAAAGCAGATGTGAACGTGATTCAAGTTTAATATATTTGAAATGTAAAGTAAAAATATAATACACCTGGATAGAGTTATGCAAATTGCATGGGTAAATTTTTCCCCTAGGGATAACTTCAGCATGTTCTCCAAATCCATTTAAAAAAAAAAAAAAAAGGAAAGTGGAGATAATCTTTTGATATTTTCTTAAACGGATGTATAGATTTCCCTTATTCTAGTGAATTAATAATGCAAATATTTTTAAATAATTTACAATCAACTCTTTATGATTATGAACTGCCACTGCTTAAATTTTGATAAACATTTTTATTATTTTAGTCATTTGACAGTGTTGTCAAAGGAATCACCTTACTTTTCATTAGCGGTAGATGTTCACTTCTAGTTAGGGATATTTATTTGTAGGCATTGCCTTTTAGAATAATAGAAAGAACATGGGATTAGGATCAAAAGATTGGGTTTGTTTCTTAACACTGATTTAGCAAGAGACCTTGGATACAATGTAATGTTTTAAGCTTCATTTCCTCATCTGGGCACTAGAGTGAAAAAATATATTTAATTGTGATATTTTGAGGATCAGATGAGATAATGTATATTAAAAAAAACACAAGGTACTATTTACATACCATTATTTTTATATTCAGGAAATAACCTTACATAAATAATCCAGTATGAGTGCCCTTTTGTTTTTTAGATACTCAAGATAAATACACACATAATTACTGTGTGGGTCATAGAGCCATTTCTTTCTTTGCTTAACAATAACTTTATTGACCTGCACAATTCACCAGCGATCTAAGCTGGAAAGGTTACAATAAACTTTCAAGTCTTTACAGGATTTTATTTTTTTTGTACTTCGCTAACAAGGCTAATAATCCAACTCTTCGTGCATCCCACCCTGGCAATTATAAATAATTTTAAAAATAAGAGTTAGCTGTGCAGTTGTTTACATATGCAGCATGTTTTACACTACATAATGATCACTGTACGCAATTTAAAAATAACTAGTGCTAAAGCACGGCATGGCATTGATCCACCGCCACAGCTCGTTGGTCTTGCATTGTTTAAGATGATGTAGGTGGCTCAACGTTGTGTCAAGTTGCACGTTCAATATTATTAGTTCCTTATGAGAAGAGGCTGGTTTTGTACCCTTTCAACAAGGCTCTGGGAATCCACCCAGCCAAGCAGAAAAGAGTTAAAGGAGTCCAGCAGAGGGGAGTAGTACGGAATGTGTGTGCGAGACAGAGCGTGAGTGTGTGAGTGTGAGCGCACAGGACAGAGGCATCGAGTTGCGGAGCGGACTCGTTCGCAAGTTCCAAAGGCCACCGCGCCCGCGGTTTTCGGCCCTAGCGGGGCTGGGGCACCCGGCCTGCGTCCAGCGGGCAGCGCCCCGAAGATTTGGGGGGCTGGGTTGGAGGGAGTGGGGTCTCGCGAGGGTTTCAGGGCGTGGCTGGAGTGGGGGGCGCGCGGCGAGTGTGCGCGGGTGTGTGCGCGCACGAGAGGGCGAGTGTGAGCGCGGCGAGTGTGAGCGCGGCGAGTGTGCGGCCGCGTCGCCATTCCCCGTGACGTCAGAGTGTATTGTTGTGAGCCGAGCCGTGCGGAGCATCCCCGGAGCTGTCACCGCGGCGGCCGCGGCGGCGGCGCAGCGCGAGCCCCGCACGAGCGAGCCCGGCCGGCGTCGCCCCCGCCCCTGTCCACGGCCCCGCCGCCGCCGCTCCCGCCCCCGGCCCGCCCGCCGCGCGCCGCCGCCGCCGCCCGCGCGCCCCCACCCACCCCACCCCACCCCCTCACTCCATCCCTCCCACCCGCCGCCGCCGCCGCCGCCGCCCGCGCGCCTCCCCCCGCGGAGCGAGTGCGGGTCACCGGGTCACTGGGTCATTGTCTCCGCGCCCGAACCCTGAGCACCCCGTGGAATCCCCCACGTCATCATCAGAACCATCAATGAGATGCAAACATGAAAGACAAGAGGAAGAAGAAGGACCGCACCTGGGCCGAGGCTGCCCGCCTGGTACGTACCGCCCCCCGCCCGCCGCCCGCGCGTCCCGCCGGCCCCGCCGCTCGCCCCGCGCCGGCCCGCGGCAGCAGAGACGGCCACTTCCAGCCCGAGCCGCCGCCCGCTCGCCCGGCTCCTGCTCTTTGTTATTCTGCGGGAGTGGGCTCGCCCAGGGGCCCCCGTGTGTATGCGTGCGCGCGCGGACGGGCGCTGCGATTATCTCGGGGAGCCCCGCGCCCGCTGCGCCCGGGACTGCCCGGGACACTTCTCCCGGTACTTCGCCGTCGGGGCTCGGCTGTGCCTTCTCCACGGGTGAATTTCCGAGCGCTCGGCCCCGCTCGACTTCCCTCTCTGCCGTTCCGGAGACCTTTGTGTGGCAATTACCACTCCCTCCCAGCCCCTCCACCCCCCGGAATTTCATCAATAACTCTGTGCACGGTCTGTGTGTATGTTCGGCGTTTGTGAGTTCATACATTTTACACGTGCATGCACGGTGTGTGTCCGACACGGACTTGTGGGGCGTGTGCATGTGGGCTAGGTCGTTGCGTGTCTGTGTGCCGTGTCGTGTGTATTATGTATGCACACTGATACGTGCATGTTTTGTGTTGATCAAGTTCGTTTGTGTTGTAGGTATTGTGCTGTGCTCGATGTTTGTGTGTACATTCTGTGCACGTGTGTGCAATTTGTGAGTGTGTGTCGGTGTGTGTGTGTGTGTGTGTGTTTGGTTAAGTTGGGTCGGTGTCATTTGTAGTGGGAGGTTATTAAGAGTGTACAGCTAGGTGTGTTTTACTGCTGGCTTCCTGGGCGGTGTTACTTGGCTGCTTTTCCTTTTCTTTAACCTTTCGGAGCTTACGTTTTAATCATCGAAAGAATGTCTCTATAGAAATGCTGGTTGGCAGAGGGGCGTCGGCGTCTTTGGTTTGATGCATGTGTATATGTGGGTTTTTCTTTTTTCTTCTTCTTTTAAAGGACAGCTGTAAATGGATTTTTTGAAAAGGATATTTCTGTACAGTGTGTCTCATGGGAATGCAAGACATTACATTTGAAGCTCAGCCTTTCAGGGTTTCGGCTGCATAAATTAAATATTTATTCACCAACTTACTATCTGTTATAAATTGGCCAAAAGAAAACAGACTGCATGCAGCAGGGTGTGGAGGGGAAATACCCCAGGACATGTTATGGGTTGGCTTTGTAAAGGTTGTTTCACTATAACTGTGGTCTTTTTTAAAATTTTTTTTATGGTTTTGAATAACGACATCATGCTCAAGGAGAACATTTGTCAAAAGTAATTATCTGAGTTTGGTTGAAGGGCTTTACTGGTACGTCTCTGGTTTTAGATAATTGGTCCTATTGCCCTGAGAAGAAGTGACAAAAGTCCTTTTTAATTGCAGTCTAGTTATTGGTAGTGGAAGTGTCCAGGCCCCTTTACTTCATCTCTTAATTTGTAGTAGTGTATGTTATGATTTCTCTCCTTATCTGTGATCCTATTAATCGCTAAATCAATCACTCTCTGTGGATGAATGGGCAGGTGATAGTTATTCTCTAATGAACTGCGTCTGGAAGAAGAAACTTATTTGTGAGGAATATGTGAAAAGTAAGCAGTAAGTGTTAAGTAGATGCCGATTGATGTTATCACTGAATTTTTGCTAGAGCATAGTATGTACATTACTAATTGTTTGCCCAGCCATTAATTCAGAATTGTGTGGGGGTGTGCAAGGCTTCTGAAAATGTATTATTTAGGTTCCTCGGAGTGGCAATCAAGTATTATTATAGAGCTTCAGTGTATGTATTTTAAACAAGTGAACAATGTGTTGATTTATAAATATTTTCAAATAGTGGTTCATGAATTAGCCATATCTGCCTGCAGAGAATTATTTAATAATATTATTCTGATGGAATTTAAAGCTAACCATTTGTATTCAGTCAGTATATGTTACTATTCTTGAAAGTACTGTGCTTTATTTGACCTAATCATAACATATCCGTATTGACAAATCTTGAAATAGATTTCTGAGTCACTTTTTTGTTTTGTTAAAAGTTGTATTTTTCTCTTGCAAAGTTCGTTGATGGGAAGAGACACACTAGGAGTCATCAACACAAAAGAATTAATCATAGACCAGATGTCTCTATTTTAACCAGACATATTGAACTAGTAGTTATGGTAATTTTTCAATTTGGTTCAAGTTATTTTTCCCCTGGTAGTTGTACAAATGTGTATGTATTCAAAACGTTAAAGTTGAAATAAAATACTGAATAAAATAGCAAGTAATTGTACTAGAAATATCTTTTTCAGAAATTTGTGATTTGTAAAAGTGACTTTCAGTTATTCTTAACTTTGTGAATAAAGGAGAAACGGATCTATTTGGGTAATAGTGACATTTTCATGCTTTCTTTGTGATTACATGAATGCATATAGACTTAAAATCTCTTCTAAACTTGCATGAAAAACATTTTTATGCTTTAAATTGATAGTATTAATTTACACTCAATGAAAGAGGAGTGCTTTTTTTTAGCATTTCTGTGATACAAATACTGTCATTACATATTTTACACTGCCCCTTGCTGTGCTTGTTGTTGTTAAGGACTTTTAGCCTTTCTTCATCAAGTGTTAAACCAAGTGTCTGATTTTAAAAGCAAATACTAAAGATGGACTGAAAATATACAACTCAGTATGTGGTTCATGCAAAAATATGAACTAAAGAGAGACTATCCAGATTAACATTAAGAATAACCTTCCAATTCATACAGTGTATATTACATACACTGGAGTGTATGTGTGTGTGTGTGTGTGTGTGTGTGTGTGTAATTTTCTTGAAGGAGAGAATATCAAGGGAGAGGAAATGTAAAATAGATTTTTTGAACTGTGAATCAAAAGCTATGTTTAACTGTAGCTTTGCATTCAATTATAAGAAAAAATATATGGAAGAACAATTCTTTCCAGAGTAAGAACTTCCAGTCGACAACAGAATTTTTGTTGTTGTTGTTTTATTTTTTTCTCTTTGTCAGAAAAGTATAAGGTCTCCAAATCTATAAACTCTGAGTGGGAACTCCAGGGATTTTGTTTTAGATAGAGATGCAGCTATCAAGCTCGACCAGTTCTCTCGAAGTAAAGTGATGTTTGTATGTGGTGGGCTTGCTTAGTTTAGGGAAGAAGGAATGGTGGTATAATTTCCCTGCATTTTCAGGAATGCAGTGATTATTAACAGGCTGCCATTTTAAAACAGTAATACCACATCTTTTTTTTTTTTTTTCTTTCTGCCCTGCATCAGTTGCAGAAATTTCAGCCTTCAGCCTCCTCCCCTCCCCCTCGGCTTTCTGCAGTTGTGGTTGTTACTTTGCGCATTGCCATTTAATATGGAGTCTGCTCCCAAACCAGATGCATTTTCATCTGTTTTATCTGCTCTTCTAAGGTTGTAGAGTCTCAGAGGATCCCGTAATCACATGGAAGTATCTTCTGTCTTAATATTTGTAGACCAAAATGAGAATAAAAATCAAAACCATAACTCATGTCGAGCTGGGGTTTTGACTTTAATCTTTTTGACTTTTATCTCAAGTCTTCACTCTGTTACTATAAATACAGTTTAAACCATTGTGAAAGGATCTTCATGCTTCTTTGTAAAAAATGGGGATTTGACAGGACTTTGTTTTACTGCACTAAGGGGTTTCTTTGTGACTGGCTTAACACAGAACATACTGTTATTTATATATTTATTCTAGGTTAATTCCTTCTTTCTTTCTTTCTTTTTTTTTTTTGACGTGCAAAAATGTTGTTGCTTTGAAAAGTGCTTTTTGATAGTTTCATCACTTTGTTCTATAGGGAATGCTGCTGTTAAGATAACGGTTCAACGTATTAATTTGTTCCCTGAGTTTCCTTCCATTTGTTTCATTCCTTACAATCTTTGTTTAGTCTCACTGGCACCTGAAAATAAATCTTCACAATCTTCAGTAGCTCTGTACTTGGTAACGTGGCTGATTTATATGGTCATAGTTTAGATACATTCACACAGATAATGAATATCAGTGGGAGTTTTTTTTTTGTTGTTTGTTTGTTTTCTTTGTTTTGTTTTTTTGGTAGTTCAAGGTGACCTTTGCAAAAAAATTTTAAATGGCAAATTTGCCTCTTTGTTGGGAGAAAACAGGCACATATCCCTTTATACCGTAGCTGGGTTACTGAAGGTTGGAAAGACATTGAAATCTTGTAAATCATATTGTATTAAAAATTAAGTAGAAGGTTTATTAATTAAAGGAAATCTGTGTGAATCTTTCGCACAGTGAAGATTCATACTGCATTAGAATATAGTTAGGGTTTCTAGAACACAGAACTGAATGGTATTGGTAGCTGTTAAAATAGAAACTAGTTTATAATTGTTAATTTACTGGTTGCCTGGCTTCTTGTTTTTGTGTTTTAGAAATAAGCACAGTTTTTCAGGATTGATGAACATGGGGGTGGAGGAGAGAGCATTGGTGCTGCTTTGGCATTTCTCACTGTGCCAGTGGTGCTTAGATTTTAGGTGATGACCCAGCTGTTAACAGTTGAGATCATTTTGACTTGTGATTTGAGGTAAGCCCCAAAGGTGCACAAAAGCGTAATTGTGATACCACTTATGGGCTTACTAGCCTGGCTAATGTATTTGGCAAATGGAGTTTTATTTTCAGTCGCTTATATTTCAGTTGTTTCAGTTGATTCAGCTGTTTTCTGTGATCTACATACACATAGCATCATCTCTTTATGTCTATATCTCATCATCTCTTCTTTCAGATAGGTAACCTAAATTTTCACTTCACAATTTAAAAGATGGAAGAGTTTAGCAATCTCCATTTTTAAAGAAATGAGTTTCACGTTGGAAAAAAAAAATGTGTTTGAAGTCATTAGAAATATGAACATAGGCCTAGTATTTAGTTTGTTATTTTTTTTTTATATTCTGACATGAAAGGGAATTTTAAGAATTCAGTCTTAAGTTTTTCTCTTCTTTGACAAATTCTTTGGTAGCAGACGATTCATTGGATGTCAGAAT